ATTAGTGCTGTCAAACAATTAATCGCATCCAAAATAAAAGTTTTTGTTTACAAAAAATACAGTTTTGAAAATATTTACATGTATATATTTGTAATCATATAAATTAAATCATATATAAATATATTTAATATATGAACATAACATATTTTTCTTAAATATATACATGCATGTGTGTGTATTTATATATACATAATAAATATTCACAGTACACACACATATATAAACAAAAACTTTTATTTTGGATGTGATTAATCGTGATTAATAGTTTAACAGCACTTATATATATATATATTAGTTTGGGGAACCATTCTTACTATTAACTAGCTATTAACTATGACTTTTGCATAAATAAACTTCTAATTTGCTGCTTATTAATAGTTAGGTAGTTGTAAATAGATGTATCCATTGAAAAGCTCTGATTGGTGGATTGAAAATGTTGACATCTGGCAACCCCAAGCAATGCAAGATAACAGAATTGTCAAATGAACAGAATGTTTGCAGAATAAAATAACAGTCTTGCAAATGCTTATTCTTAATTAATCAAGAGAAGCAGAAACTGTGACAACCCTAATGCAGTTAATGTGATTTTGGTCACTCAAAATCATTCAGGAATTAATTGGTTTGTACAAATTGTTTGTTTCATACCAGAATGAAGCCAGACCTGGATTCCTTGAGCCATAGCATGGTAAACTAAACCATGAAACCTTTCTGTTTTACAGTCGCAAATGCCAGATCCCAAGACCTTCAAGCAGCATTTTGAGAGCAAGCACCCCAAGAGCCCTCTTCCCCCAGAGCTGGAGGGCGTGGAGGCGTGAACGGCCCGGACACCAGAGGCTGATGATTGTATAAGACATCACAATAAGAGTCCTGATCTCAAATTTTATTCAGCAGGACACGATCAGCGCTCTTACCTGAGTTTTATACATGCATCTTCCCCTTCGTTGCAGACATGAATCCCGTGGATCAAAGACTGATGACGTTTAGCTTCCTTCTCTCAACACTGTTTCAGAGCACTTGCCTTGGCTACGATCAGATCAGTGTATTACCTCAACCTGCGCTCACACGCTTTCTTTTCTCATCTTACTTGTGTAATTTAATAGATTGAGAGAGAGAAATTAGAACACTACCAGTGATCGTCAGTTGATCATCAGTAACATAAATGTGGTAGTTACGGACATATTTGTCTGCTTTTGCGTGGAAGATAAGTCATAGATGAGTGCAAATGGACATGGAAGTGGTTTCCCACTAATGACGTTTAGCCTGGGCAAAAACTTTTTACTAATTTACTAATAGTAAACTAAAAATTTACTAATTTTGCTTTCCACCGATCAATCTCTTTTAGTCCAAAACAAACTGGTTCTGTACACTGCGTTTCTGTAAATCACTGGATGTGCCCGAGGTTATTGTATTCTTAATTTAATGTTGCTGCAAAAGTTATTTCTCTTTGGAATGATCTCAAAAAAATATTGCCTCAATGTTTGATATTCCTGCTCAAGCCGCCTGGTTTCCACACCACTGTAATATATCTCTTTAATAAAATTTTACTTTAAGACGTTGTGAGGCATGTCTTCAACACAGCTGGTAAGAAACGAGAGTCTAAAATACTTTCAATGTGTGAATGGAAAAAGAATTGACAGCGGCAACAAGGAACAGTGTTTCTAGGGCAGTTATTATGCATCATTACCTTGGCAACAGCACAGCAGGTCAGTAGTCACAGCAGAAGCAAACAGAATCGGACTCTGCCTGTTTGACCTAGTACATGTTTGGAGCTCTGGCCATGTCAACTGATAATTTAAACTGTTTTTACAGTAGCTCAATGCATGCAGATTTGCACAGTGATTGTTCTTTACTGTGGTTATCGTTAACTAAAACTATTAAAAATGATTTTTGTTAATTGGAATAAAGCTGAAATTACATAAATATTAGATGGAAAATTTAAACTTAAAAAATAGAACTGTTGCATTGGCAACTAACTGGAAGTAAGTAAGTTTAACCCTTGTGCTGTGCTGGAAATCCTTCACCTGTTTTGGTGTTGCTTGTCAAGAATGATTGGCCTTTTCAAAATGACTTGTTAATCTCTCAAAATGCTATATTATTGCCTACTTTTTTTATTTAAACTTTTTTTATGAACTTGTTTTCTTTTAATTAGCACAAATTTTGTAATTCTTTTTGGGAACTGATTGATTGTAGACAGAGCTTATTTTGTGGATGTATTTTTAGGTGCAGAAATTTATAAGTAGGTTTTTGTAGGCGGTTAATTTTTGACTGAAACACCATAAGTGTGTAAGAAGGTGGAGGGAACCCCCCCCCCCCCCCCCCCCAATTTCAAAAATTATCAGTTGAAAGCCTAAAAACAAAATTCACGATTTTTGGGGAATTTGTTATACCCTGCATGAGCAAAGTCAGTCCAATGTGATAACATTAACTAGCAATTTCGGGAAAAAGAAATACTTTCCGGGTCACAGTGACTGAAACTGAAAGGGTCACATGACTGAAACATCTCGGTTACATATGTAACCTTGGTTCCCTGAATAGGTTCACTTCAATGCTGCAATGACGTCATCGCTTTGGGAACACCTCCGGTGTGACGAATGTCTGAAGCCCTTATACCATCACACCAATTTATTGGCCAATAGGGCTTAGCACCGCCCCGAGCATACGTCACGTATGCTCATATATGCGTGCTGCGTGCTATTTCATCAGATTTTACACTATGACGAAGGAAGCGCTATCAAAGGTACGGAACGGCCAGCATCGCAGCATCTCGTTCCCTATTCAGGGAACCAAGGTTACATACGTAGCCGGGAACGCTATACTATCAAGCCTGACGTACCTAAGATAGCTGGAAGACAGAGGAAAGAGTCTGCGCAAGCGGAAGAGACCCGGGAGCCAAGAGCCATCCTCACGTCCAGACAAGTAGAACTTGATGAAAGTGCTAGGAGAGGACTAACCTGCCACAGCACAGACATCTCCCATCAAAGACCCTTTAAAGAGAGCCTGAGAAGAAGCCATTGCTCTCGTAGAATAAGCACGCACCTCTAGAAGCGAAGTCACACCACGCGCCTCATAGGCTAGAGATATAGTCACTATCTGACCCCGCATAACAGGGGAGAAAGCCTCCAACCACTTGCTGAAAGCAAACGTGAGTCGAAGCAGCCTTAGGATTAACTAGGCCTAGGAAGCAATAAGACTTAACCAGCCTCGGGGCAAGGTCCATACAAGAGGAGCTGACAGAGCCTGCAGATCCTCGGTCCTCTAAGAGAGAATAGGATTACCAAAAAACTGCTTAAGGTTTCAAAGTTCTCTGACAGACTTAAACGGCTCAAATGGATGGCCTGCCAGGCCTTCCAACCGAAAAATAGGTCCCAAAAAGGAATCTGTGCTGAGCGGAAAAGCCTAAACCGTCTTGTCCCTGCATGAAACAGGAAACCAGAGGGTGACATCCCGCTGAAACACCTCTATGGGTAATGCTCAGCAGATATGGCAGCCACATAAACCTGTGGCAGGTCCCTGCAGGGTAATGGACTGGGTCCAGATTGTGTCCACTTAAAGGAACACTCCACTATTTTTGAAAATAGGCTCATTTTCCAACTCCCCTAGAGTTAAACAGTTGAGTTTTACCGTTTTCGAATCCATTCAGCCAATCTCCGGGTCTGGCTGTAGCACTTTTAGCTGTAGCTTAGCATAGATCATTGAATCTGATTAGACCGTTAGCATCTCGCTCAAAAATGACCAAAGAGTTTCTTGCTCAGGGAGCGTGCTGGGGACTATTTTCAGGCGCTGCGTAATATCATTGCGCCTGCTGCACCCATGGTACGGCAGCAAAGTTCCTTGATTATTACGCCAGAATGAGAGTGTAGTTCCTTGCCATATCGGCCTAGAAAATTGCAACTTTTCATTTTCCTTCGGTCTTAGTACACGATGTAACTACAGAAGAGTCA